GGGTTAGTGGGATATAACGAAAGCAATAGAATCATTTCATCATATTTTTCAATTTTTTTTTAAATTACACTTGAATATTGTATTATATTTTGAAGGTAAACTCCGGCAAAGCGAAAGCCTGGTAAAGTCGAATTTCCCGTTTTACTTCTATGTCATGAGTCGAACAACGTATAGTCCGTTCATTGAAACAAAGCAGTTACGTCATATTCAATAAGTTTGAATGCCAACCTTAATGCAAAATAGATCCTAAATTGTTAAATATAGTTTGAATTTCTCAGGTGCATTTATGTTGGTAACAGTTTTCTGGGTTGTGACATTGTCGCAAAGCTTGTCAGGTAATTACACCAACAGCTGTTGTTTATGTATAGTTTATTTTCTAGGATCTAGTAGTTTTAAGTAACGTGGCAACCGCGTGCGTCACTCATTATTTGATGCTGTGACTTTACTGTTTTGATTCAGTGAATATGCTGTAAAAAGGTACATAGTTATTCGTTCAACTTTCTTCGAATATCGGCAAGGGGTTGTAGAAGTACCCAGTGTTTATTTGACCACCAGGCATCAAATTGTATTTTTTCGACAGAGAAACTGAGATTGCAAGATAATTGTTATGCGTATAATTCCATCTTTATATTATTAACACGAACTGCTATTTAAATATTTAGTAGACATTTAAAGGCCAGTGATTTAGTAGGATTTGTAGGAAACAAGACTGTTAAACAAGTTATTTCGGGCCTGTAACCTTATTTTTGTAGTCAGCGAATTTAAAATTGATATTTTGGTATATATAAATACTAAAATAAAATGGTACATGGATACTGGTATTGTTTTTAAATGACCCATTCGAGTACTTGCCGTCAAATAGTGCCTACAAAAACCACGGAAGTCCCGGGCTTACGATGTTTTTGCGCTGAACGTGTATTACGTGGTGTTATTGGAAGGAAAGTACATGTATATGTAGAGACTTGATAGGTGTTTACTTGAAATAGGCATCTACCTTGAACGAAGCGTTTTCAGTAAAAAACATATTCGTGGAAAAATGGATTGATGAAGTTTTTGAAATGCCAGATTCAGTTGTTATAGTCAGTCATATATGTCAGTAGAACCTTGGAGATACTGTCCGCAAAACTAACAAGCCCGTAGTGGAGGACATTCTGTACCGTACTCGAACACTGAAAACATGGTATATTAATTCCGCGTCTATGTAGTTTTGACAACTTAACTAACTGGCGTATTTTTCGGTCTATAACACTATTTTCTACGGTACCATTAGAGCACCCCAATGCTGCAGCGCATATTGCTTCGAGGATATTCTTCAATTGATGTCTTAAGTTTATTTACATATTATTACGTCTGGACGTCCAGACCTTGAAATATCAATTAATATAATATAATAATATAATAATAATTTCAAAAAATAAAACCATAAGCCTTTTGAATGTTGTAGTTTGTGTTGTCTGAAGTGTTGAATTCAATCGCTAAATTCCTGTTTTAACGAGCGCTTCCATGGTTCACATGTAAGCGGTAGCTTAGCAAGTCAACGTTGCAACCAGGCATTCTCGAAAGTCTCGATTCACCGTTATGTGTACACATGTGCATATGTTGAAAAAAAACAGTTTCCTGAATTAAAATTCCTCGCTAAACAGCAGCAACAGCAGCGCAAACGCTTCATTCATCGATTTCGGCCGACATAAAAGAAATTCCTGGAGTGAAAGCAAATGTCAAGGTAACAAGGAGGATACGTATAATAATGTTAATTACAAAACGCCGCGACCGTGCAGTCTGTTCTGTGCGTAGTTGTATATACAGGGTAATTCAAAAAGCGGTGGCAATATTTAGAGAACGTACCTACCTCTAAAAATTTCACAAAAAACTCATATAAAGGTGGGGTGGGTCATTAAATGCCCCTAAGGCCGAGATGTAATAATGAAACTGACTTTATTCTTTTTGTTGTGTCTTTCTGGATTTTGATCTTATAACTCTGGCGTACCGTTGCAATAACGCAGAACTTGAACCATGCGCTTGACGTTAAACTGTTTCTAAAGAGGAATTCCGACAAGTCGTCCACAACGCTGACTCTAGACTTGACGAAGTTTTAGCTTTCTGCTGATGCCGTTCCCGATTCAACCAATGATAAGGAGCATGGAAATCACGTGGTTGTTGCCGTATATCAGATAGTTTTTCCACGTGCTTTTCACTTTTTTGACATCCACACAAATTTAAGGTTAGCTAACACCTCTCTTGTATACTGTCAAGCGGAATGATTTGCAGACAAGTTTGGTCTTTAAACATGTGAAATAGAATGCAATTTTGGATTACGTATCTCAAAATTCACCCAAAAGAATTTTGGAAGAATGCAAAATATCCCGGCTTAAGTTGGTATAAGTTTGAATATGAGATTTGACAATTTTGGCTCGTGAACCATAACAACTGAGACAATTATCTATATTTTGTCATTTTATTGGTCAGTGCGGGAGTGAAGCAACTTACTTTATGAATTTGTGAATATTTACGTGATTGTGACCTGTAAGACCTTTCCGGGATTTTTTTCCGGAACACGCCGATTATAAAGCACTCAGAATCTAATACTATGTGGACGTACTATGAAGCAACATCTCCAAGTGTATACCGACGCGTATCATTCATGATTTCATTTAAATCACAAAACGCGTGCCACGCGTGTACATAACAAGTTCCGGTGCTGCACTTTGAATTTAATAGTCCTCACCGTGCTACCAAGAATCGTTAACTGCGTTTGAAAAAAAAGTGAATACTGCTTGTAGAATAACAATACGTTCTGTAGGAACAGTCCAAGCAGATGAAGCATAACATATTTAAATACTACTCAGCATTGCGGCTTCTCTCGTTTTAATTGGGTATCTGCAGGTGGAATATGTTAATCAGTGCCTGAAGATACAGTTCGTGACAAACTTATAGTGTCTGTTTACATATTTTTTATCCTTTCTGGTACCGACACGATTATGGAATGACCATTATATTATGATACACGTCTAAATAATGATGAAAGCACTAATACTTCCATATAATTGCTTTGAATGTAGCGAATTTAAAATAAATCGCATGGTTTCGATATGGGCATCAACAAATTCACGTAATTTGACTGCTATAAATTAACCGGCACGAACGGCTAACTTCCACCTCCTCCCCGTGCTCCTCACCTCCACAAGCCAACAGGTGCGTCCAGCGTACGTCTGCAAAGAAGGCGCCCTCTCGGTTTTATGGCTTTTTGACGACCGTCGATAAAAAAAAAGGAAACAGACGCTAAAAGTTTGTCGTGCACTATACCCAAGTAAAATAAGCATCAAGAGAGGCTCAAAAAATGGGATCGAAAGCCCTAGATGGCGCTAGTAGTTTCCAGATCCCTTTTTGGGCGCAGCAATACAGTATATGTTTGGGTGTGTTGAGCTCATCTCGACCCTGGTTTTGTCGAATTTTCATTAGGAGAAAAATTTCAAAAACTGTTCGAACATTGTGGCACCTGTATAAGCGATTGAGATACGGATTATCTTGAAATTCCCAGGTTTTCTAATTTGTTTAACCTGATTCGTGCTGACTAAAAAATGCTACCACAAAACATCTAATTGCTATGTTATGGCTAAAATCTTTAGTTCTGCGGCTGACATTGCCATATGATGCGCAATCTAGATATTTAATTGGCATTAATGGGATTATATGTCTAGCTATAAGGTAAATGTCGAGGAAAAAATATGTCATTATGCTTACATATAAGCCAACGACGATCAAAAAACATAGACCTTTACATTCATTCATAAAATGTGTTTCTGAATATTGACAAGATAAACAACAAAAAAAATGTCTGCCCCTGGGAGAACGGAACTGACATGACAACTAGCATGGGCGGGGTAACGGAACGCGCGTTTGAAAACTATTTTGGAAGGGTTTTCAAAAAATTTTAAACATTACAATGAATGTAAGAGTATGAGGTATATTGCAATGAAATAACATCTCAAAAATAAAATAGCATGTTTGTAAATAAATAATGAAATGCAAACGTACCTCTCATTAGTACAACTGTATCAGTGTTAATAAGGGCACATAGCCAGCAGAATTAAAGAAAAAAATGATTGTCATATAGATATCTTTATTAAAAATTGAACTATACTGTATTATGGAAAAGTATAATTAACATTATCAAGTTAAGACATCAACAGAATAGCTTATTAATCCTAGAGTACCAGTGGTATCCCCACTGTTACGTGACTCCATCACCGCCATTTATACTTATTGCGCTAAATTGGGATTAATACTACAAAAAAAAACATCTATAACCCCTTAAAAAGAGCTTATTATTATTAACGTGTGGTAACAACCACATGATGAGTAGCACTCGTAGTCCAGGGTTAAAAGATAAATGTCAATTAAAATTAGCATTACGTAATTGAAAACTATTTGGTCAACCTATAACAGAAAGATAATATTATTGTTGACGAAATAATACTGCATTTGTATATACACTTCTAATTCTAGTTTTCCTTGAACTATCAGATTTTTTAACAGTTTCATGGCGAATTCTGAGCGAAAAACACTTTTTCAAAACAAGTTTTATTAAAAATATACAGTGTCCATCAATAGGGTCATCTTCAAAAGGTGCTCATTAAAATAACCCATAATTTGTGGTGATATTGTTTGTATACCACTATTAATTAGGATATCTAAGAGGTATTTGATATTCTTATTGAAACTAAGATAATGACACTGAACATACCCATACTTAATTCTGAATCTACCATAACCAGTCTAATGGCCTACTGTGGTAGATGACAATATGTCTACTTTCTGTAACAACTATTGGTCAAAATAAACAAAATACTAATAAAAAAATAGAATATCAACTGCTATAATTAATAGAAAAAAATAATAAAGCTTTATATGCAAAAGTGATAAGATGATATGATTATTTTCAATGGTATTTTGACCAGTTATGGTATGTTAAGTGTTGATAAAAATTATTATATTGAAAAAAAGTTGATCAATTGCACCAAACAAATAAATACGGATATCTGGGACACAGAGTTTTCATCAATCTGCTTACCTTCAATACAGCTTCAGCTGAATCTGTTATGTGCATCTCCTGCTTCAAAAGTTTCAATAAACCACTTAGAGTTTTTATTCTTCTCTGCAAAGCACCAACACTTGTTTGGAGACTTTTTACTTTTTTTCTCAATCTCATCAGGGAAGTTTTCATCAACTGATAATTAGTATTTGCTTTTCTAGGAGTGGAAAATTGATTGAAGTACATGTTTATTAGAAAATTATTATAGTTCATCTGAGATTTATTGATTACGAGATAAGTTAATAGAAACCGGCTGTGTTTCCCTATCCAGTAGCTGAAATTTTCCCTGTAAAAATAATATAGCGTGTTTCTGGTTAATTGTCCGTCATCAGTGTAACGTACTTTAAATATATGGCTTTTTCCTTGCCTTTTAAAATCATCATCATCATTATATGTGTAATTAATCCAAATCACAGAAAAATTAGGAATCACCCACAAAACATTTTCGCAGTGCCTCACATCTAGGCTCTGATTTATATTTTATATTTGATAGCGAAACATACATTTCAGTAAAATTTAGAGGACTGACAATAAAAAATAATCTAAAATTTAATAACCTTTTCACTTTTCATAAATATTCCTGTCTGAAGCCTACTTCCTCATCTGTTAGTTGTAATATGCTTCACCAACCAGGGTTTTTGTTTTTTATGTCTGTCATATTTAAAAATCAGAAAATTTGCATATGTAATTTTCAGGATAAAACATACAGTTGAAGTAAGTGTATCTGAGACAAGAAACTAAGGGAATTATCGTCAAACCAGATTATTAACATACAAATCCTCTCAGTAAGTACCTATGAACTGCCGTTTAGCCCGTTTACTAGTTCCAAGTTGATATCTTATAGGAAAACTTACATAATGTCAAAAAAACCCATATAATGTCACTTATCAAGATACCTAATACACCCGTCCTCCCCAGAACTGGAAAACAAGTCGCTTAACTTGCGACGTAGTTATTTCGACAATTTGGGTTTCTGAGAACTATTCGTTGGAGGTTGATGACTGCTAAAATTCCGATTGGTGTCTGTGCTTTGCGATAGCCGACAGCGCGGTGTCATCGTCAAAAATGTGTTTTTTCCTAGCAAACTACCAAGACAAGCGACTGTCTGTCTATATTTAGGAGCACAACGGTGTATCTGAGAAACAAAAAAGTTGACTCTGTACTTCCCACGTTACGCTGTCATCCGTTCGTAAAAGATTATGTTTGGCACACGTTAGCCCTTATGAGAAAAAAGTTAGCTACGAACATGTACCTGTAACAAAAAATTAAGGGCCTGATCGTCAGTCGTTCCTACAATTGTAGGAAGTCTTTATGGCCTCCTCGATTTTCATAGTCTTTTTTCTCCTTCAGAAAGGCTGGGATATTTCTACTATTCCGGGTCTACGTCAGCGCTCTCCTATTGTGAAGTTATGTTTTCTTTTTGTAACGTAGGAAATTTCAGGCTGATAAAACATATGATACAGGGTGGCCCATAAGTCCTTTGAGCTGGAAAAAAAGGAATAAAACCAAACTAGTTACATTATGAAGAATTATTATATTTTGTTATCATCTTTATTGAATGGGAATTATGTTTTAAAAATCACATCGTCTAAATGCAATCCATTACGATCACGGCACTCATATAAACGACGTCTAAAATTGTCGATGACTGCGCGGCAAGTCAACACTGTAATGCTTGCCATTTCTCTTCGGATATTTTCTTTCAGGACATCAACTGATCGCGGAGTGGTGTCGTACACTTTACTCTTGAGGTAGCCCCATAAAAAGAAGTCCATTGTCCACAAATGTCTCCTCTTCGAGAAATTACTTTGCTGGGAAAAAGTTGACAGACGACGGGCATAGAAGTGTTGGAGGTGTGGGCAGTTGCTCCGTCCTGTTGAAACCAGGTCTGCGTATTATAGCCTGGAAAATTCTGCAACGCTGGTGTCACAAACTCTTCTATCATTGCTACATACCGCTCCGAAGTAACAGTTAATGCGCGACCTCTGTCGTCCTCAAAAAAATATGGGCCTACGATGCCATGCGCTGACATAGCAGCTCAAACTGTAACTTTAGGGCTGTGTAAGGGCTTCTGATGCTTACGCCTTGGATTTTCGGGGCTCCAATAACGGCAATTTTGTTTATTTACATGCCCGTTTAAATGGAAGTGAGCCTCGTCCGAGAACAACACATTATTGAGCGAAGAAAATCGATTCAACATTTCATTCGCAAAGTTTAGTCTCTGAATAGCGTCATTATCTTTTAATTCCTGCACTAACTGAATTTTGTAAGCGTGCAGACGTAAATCTTTCCTTAAAATCCGCTGTAAAGATGTTCTGGGTACGTTTAGTGCACTGGAACGCTTACGAGTAGACTAGGTAGGATTTTGACGAACAGACTGTGCCACAATGTTGATGTTTTCTTCAATACGAGTTGTCCTTGGTCGACCCTACCGCTGTTTATCTAACGTCGACCCAGTTTCTTGGAACTTAGCAACCCAGTTCTTAATCGTTTGAGCTGTTGGACACTTTGTGAAATTGTGTAAATTGTGGTATTCTCGATATTCACGCCGCGCAATGGTTGCCGAATCATTATTTTGATAAAACGCACGCACACAAAAAGCACGATCCGCTCCAGTGAAACACTCCATGGCGACTGAATTCCCAGACACTGAAGATACTGCCCCCACCTCGCCCGCGCCGCTCACGCTCACCCGTTAAATTTTATTCAAATTTGAAATTTCAAAGGACTTATGGACCACCCTGTATAAACCGAAAGCATGGACAATTAGATGCAAATAGATATTTGTGACATAACCTCAAAATAGAGCGCTGATACGGAACAGTAGGAAACTATGGAAATCAAGGAGGCCATAAAGGCGTCCTACAACTCTTTTTTAAGGTTCTGTTACAAATACCTATTTTCATCAATTGTTCATACTTTTAATTTATATCATGTTATATCAGCATGAAACTTACTACAATTCAAACAGAAAATATAGCCTCACAATAGGAGAGCGCTGATGCCGACACGGAACAGTATACCTAAATCTAGAAATACCCCAGCCTTTCTGATGGAGAGAAAATACTATAGCAACTAATAAGCCGTTAAGGCATCCCACAATTGTAGGAAGAACTGACGATACGGCCCTTAATGACCTTACTCCTCCCTCTGAGAGGAATTGCTGCAGGTGCATATGATCGATGCGATGACCAATACCGCGTGAATGACTATATTGACGTTTATCATGCCAGTTTACCAGCCGGCAGCATACAGTAGTGTGGAAGCGATTCCCGATTGTCACACACGACGCTCGTCCATCGGGGGACCACGTTTTACGGGAAATGTATGGGGACATCTATGACAAGTGAAATATAGCTAATATATGCGTAGAATTACTAGGGTTCGATATACCAACGTAAAAAAATTGAGATATGTCCTCCCCACCTCCTGCAACCCCTAATACCCAATGTTTAACCCCTAAAAAATTTACAGAATATATATTTTCTTCGCCGCTACTGGACCGATTAGCAAAAACAGACATACAGACCGACGGAAACGAGTGACTTTGTTTTTCGTGAATTACATCTCATATAACATACAAAAAACATGATAACATGTTTTCGAAAATTTCCGTGATAACAATACTTTCCCGCCCGTAGGAGTGGTACGAACGAACGACTACGAACGACGGCAGATACCTTTTTACTTTTCGCCCTAAGGGTTCGCGAAACATTTCGAAAATGATATGTTTGTTAGGTTTTTTTGGATGCTATACAAGTATGACATGTACAGTTTGCGAAATCTAAAGTTCTCCAATTTTAACCTAACAAGCCAGCTTAAAAATCGCTTTGAAAAAAAGTAATTTCAAAATTAGATACTTGGAGACCTCAAAAAATGTAATTTTTAGCCAGTTTGGAAGTGTAGAATATACCCATTTTTAGGGCATTTCAGACATTAAATCGCCTATAATTCGAAAATGGGCAGCTTTAGAGAAAAGGTAATGGAAACCTTTTATGTGCATTAGTGTACTCATACATACATATATTTAGTCTGCAACTGGTCTTGTCCTGGTCCTGTAAGTTCTAACTTACCGTTAGAATTGGTTAATTTTTTCATTTAGGCTGCTACCTTAAAAATCAGAACCGAAGCAAACTTGTCGTTGAGTATTTTGAACTTTCTCCCTTTACTATTCTTTATCAAGTATTTTGATTTGAACACATATGACAACCTTGGTTGACTATGCTCGAAAGCTTCTTCAGGGATTCCCGAAATATCGATATCCTTAATTTGTACGAAATTTAGCATCGTGTCCGACGGCCTTCAGACCACAGTGTTGTACCTGCGATGCAAAAGAAAAACAAGGAGACTGCTGTCCACGACTACTAGATGAGATACGAGTGCGACGCAACGGCGGCGGCCGTAGCCTTTCACTAGTGAAATCCTCAATGACGTATGCGTCTGTGCAGGCGCATTCTGCAACGATTAGATCAACCGTATAACATTGGCGTAACATAATAAAGATCAAAAGTTACTCTATTTTGTTAATAGGTGCAGTTGGAAGTCTTGACAGCACGGCACTTCAGTTGATTTGACACTTCGGCTTCAGCCATTATGGAAGCGCCCCGCAGGGGTATTGTGTAAAAAAACCTATAAAACGTCAAAAAAAAACCTATAAGATGTCATCTTGCAGACTAGGTAGTTTTTAGTTGTGAACGTCCATCTATGGAGGAATCACTCAACTAAACTACACGTATTATTGGTTGCATATGTTTTGTGAGGCCGAATGGTCTGTGTCTATAGTTTTTATTTCTGAGAAGAACGTTGGTTGAATAGCAATATCGCATCTGGATGATTATGTGTATTGGTCTGCATGTGAATAAAATCAGTGATATTTGCTGTGTGAGAAAATCATTACTGAATATGCTGCCTCTGAAGTAATCTATTAGCTGTTCCCGACGGGTTATTAATATGTTGTCCTTTCTGAAGACAGGTTATGTTCAAAGTTATAAATTACGAAAAACTTTGAGGCGAATGTGCAATTTACTGTTTGCATGTATATGGCTTGTAATTCGACAGTGTACAGTGTATCTCTGTCGTTTTAGGAATTCAGCAAACTTGCATATGTAATTTCCAGAACGGATAAGAAAAAGTGTATGCGCAGCTAATTTCTAGCTTTGAATCTCAGTTAAGTGTATTTGAGACAAGAATCCAATGGAATTATCATCAACACATACAACTTACAGCTACCTCCAGTAATGCCATCTGACGTGTTGAAAAAACATCATGACGCTTCAGTTATCAATGTTTGGCTCAGATGTGATATGAACTATGCTTCAGAGATGCCATTTATTGGAGGTCTAAGCTGTAAGTTATATACAGGGTGTCCAATAAGTACCACGACAAACTTAAGAAAAAGGCAGGTTTGGGACTGACCTCCAAATAACAAAAACTTACCTATATAAAAGTGTCACCGTTTTTGAGATATTGAATTTTTTCTTAAATTTTTAAAAAATCGAACCTTTTCACTTGTGGTCTTTAGCTGCTTGTACAAATAAGGTTATACTTTGTTCATTGTTTCTATAAAATACTTCTAATTAGTTGCTTTATCATACACAAAGGCAATGTGTGGTTAAAATATATTAAGGAACCATGATAAAATAAGGACTATTTTGGGATTTATTACCTTCTGATAGCTTTTCCTCAACTTTGACCATCTGTGGTGAAACAAAAATGTACTGGGCTATAACTGCATTATATTGAATAAAAAGATTGCTCATTGAATACAGATTTCAGGAAGGCACCACACGTACTATTTGGAATAGAAAACAGTTCTTTGACCTCTTTTGAATTGATATCTATCTATAGGTATATCATTAATATCTCGTGGTGTTTTTATCTAAATTTTAAAAACGTTTCATGAGTGTGCATATTAAAGTGTGAATGAGATAATCTACTGTTAGCACAGATTACAAGAAAAAAATGTGTCGAGCGATGCGTGTCGAAAGTGTTTAGAGTCATTCTGTTTGTCACGAATGTCTCACATGTCAGCCAGTGATAAATACATGAAAGATAACTGATATCAACCGAGAGACGGATTTATGAATGGAACGAGTAATATCATAAAACGTTGCATCAATGTTTTTGAACGTTTTGAACAGATAACATGTATGTTCTTGAATTGGGTTTATTATCACTTTTAAATTACAGCTCTGTGTTTTCTGAACCGATCATAACAATCTTGATAAGAGGTACTTACATCAGTTACAATAATGATAGGTATAGGTTAGGTCAGGAGGTTTTAAAGATTGTCTTGGAAATGAACGAATTTAGTTTTTGGGAAGTTTACACTAGATGTTACTTCCTATACCAAAACTGACGAGGGAGTATTGTAATCGCGAAAAAGTTCGTAATAGAGATATTGTTTTTTGGATGTCATATTATGACATGTACATACACGTCTGGCAGTCAGTCTGACCGCTAATTTTATAACCGCCTATAACTTGAGAAGTACCGCTCGAATTTAGATGAAATTTTCAGACAACGTTACTATGCAAAGGATGAAAAAGCTTAGTACTTTTTGAAAATCGGTCTAGTGGTGGCGGAGCTAGGGGCAAAAACACGAAATACATAAAAAATCGCCTAAACTTCGCATTTTGACGTTTCAGAGGCTCCTGATTTTCGGATTTTTTTGTAGAGGTTGTAACTGGGCGTTGGGGGTTGTAATGGGTAGAGGGTTCTAAATGTAACGTCATTAGTATTAGTCAAAGACTGTGTATCATTGAGAAGCTTCTGATCTAGGTAACAATGGGAAAATCAAATGATAAAAGTGCTAATGTGATGATAATGTGCTCATATCTCCAATTAACTTTGCAATCGATGGGACGTCGCGATGCTGCATCATCGTGGAGACAGCTGCCGACTGTACAGTGGATGGGTCACTGACACACCGCTATACGAGAAATATTTATATATTTCAGCAATATTTGGATATTGGGGAGTACGTACCACTTTACCGTTCTGCGATGCTTTTGTTAATGATGACTGTTTTTATTTTTACATATATATATATATATACAGGGTGACTTTGAAGTTGAGTCATTAATTTTCAGATAATGATTGTACAAGGAAGATAAACCAAAATATGTGTGTAAAAATAAAATAAAAATAAAAAAAAAATGTTACCTTGTTTAATAAAGTATCCTCCAGACAAGTATTTCAGTGCGGACCTGTATTTGATCGTGCGGTCTTGGAGCAGCATGCCCTCACCTGTGAGGTCTTAAGTCACCTGATTCACGAGCCCTTTGTACTACATTAACAAAGGCACGAGGGGTTGGTTGCACTCGATTGGGAAACCGATTCGCATAAATCCGTGATGCATCCGGGAGCATTTTGTAAAGACTGCCCCCCCGTAAATAAGAATCATGTCCACAAGTTCAGCATTTTCGTAAACATGTGCCATTTTTGATTTCGTTTGAACCACGCAACACACTACTATTCACTTACGCGTTATCGACTGACGAAAAACATCGTGATAAACGTTTCAAATTCTTTCGCTTTTTTGTTTCCGATGCGATGAACCGGTCAGGCGGATTATATCCGTTGTCGCCAAACACGAGTATATAATAGGCAGGGCGGTACTCAAACTTCCAAAGGGCTATAACTTTGTTACTTTAATTTTACCAGAAAAATGGTAAAGGAAAAAAACATTTCTTTTGATCAGATCTACTCACTGTTAAAATAAATGACTCAACTTCGAAGTCACCCTGTATATATATATATATATATATATATATATATATATTCTGAATTTTATTATCCTTAAGTGTATCGCCCACTTCGCCTAATCTTTAATTTGTGTTACTCAGTCTATGATGGTTTTCTGAATATTTCGTCAAGTAGATTGACTCAGTACTTATGACGCATTAATATAACAGACACGGACTGACAAACCTACATAAATGAGAAACACGGACTTGTGTGGTACAGATATCTTTAAGCAACATAACACTTGTGAACCGAAGTTCGAATATTATTACGAGTTTAAGACTTCCATCGTTTAGGTAGACGTAGATTTTGTAAATCAGAGGTGGCGGAAGTAAAATCGCTGGAACGTAGTGTTACAACGTTTCAAAGACATTCTTTGAAGGGGATGAACATTGTAGGTTAGATGCATGCGGTAAATGGCTGAAAATTGTTGCATATTTGATGTCAGTGGAAGACCTTCTATTAATAAGAAACTTCTGACCTCACTGATACTATGCACCTGTAAAACATAATGTCATACATATTTTCCCTACGTATTTCCATGGAAACAAATACCATAGATTATTTGCTTTATACTCGTATGATATGCAGAGGTCGAGGATTCATCGTACCTAAGGGCCGTATCGTCAGTCGTTCCCACAATTAAAGACGCAGGTGTATAAAGGTGTCATGTAACAAAATCATCGAATGGAGAAAATTGACTTTAAATATTTTCTATTTGGACTTCTTTCTTTATTGACATCTTAATCATTTACTTTAATTAGTTGGTTATTATCTTGTTTTCGCAACAAAGTAATCACAGAATGAAATAATCCCTCCTTAAGGTTAGTTTAGCAATTTAAAAAAAATGTTACACACCTTTATCCACTTGTCTCTTCAATTGTAAGATGCCTTTGTGGCCTCCTTGTAGGAACGAGTCTACTCTTTTCTGAGCGTAGAAAGTACAAAGTTAATCTACTTGACGCCATTTTCTTAAACCTTGTAGAAAGGAGTCCTATACTGAGTTTTGATGCAGAGCAGGGTATTTACCATTGGCCTTTGAAGTAAAATGCATACCTAGCAAAGGTGATAAATACCTTATTGCTCGAATTCGTTATTTTTTTCATTGAGGAAGTTGAAAAAATCCGAACAATGAGAAAACTTGTTGAGTATTTTGAACTTTCTCTCTTTACTTTCCTTTATTGAGTATTGAGTGATGTGTAATGTTTCGAAATGGCGAAATCGAAGGCATGGTACTCCTTTTTGGCCAGCTCCAAAATGGATGGCCAAAATATGACCTAGACGGATCTGTCTGAGGTGCCCTAAATTTTCGACAGACGTAAACAACCAAGAAGTTTCACGAGTGAAAACGCGCTTCTGTATGTGTATGCTGTTTTGTCTGTACAAGTATAGTGATGGCT